CTATATTTATCAGTGGTTGAAATGGAAGAAAAAAATTCAATTACTTCACTTTTGAGAAAAGTCACATTTTGGACGAAATTTCAATTTATTTAATGTTTTCGCTTTATTAAAATTATTTTTTATTACATACATATTTGAAATATTCAAGAAAAAACAAGTCATTTTCATATATTACATTATTTTTTATCTTTTGGTATAACGGAGTTAAAAGTGTTTCAAAAATCCTTTGCTTCCGAAGATGTTAAATTTAAAAAAATCATAACTTTGATAATTTTGATCAAATAAAAAAATAAAAAAAACACGTATTTATTTATTTTTCATATAGAATTCGAAAAAAATTGTTTTAATACAAAAAATTTTTTGAGTGAAACTTTTACTGAAAATGAAAATATAAAAAAAAATAAAAAATAAAAAAAATATATATAAAATGAAAAAAAAATATATATATTATATGAAAATATAATGGATATTGTTATTTAATCGATTTCTTTCTTTCCCAATTTGTATTTATTTCTTTTAATAAATCATATTTTTCCCATATATTTTTTTATAAAAAAGGAGTTTAATTTTGGTGTACGGAACCCTCGATTTTAGTGCCAGTGTAATTCGCACTTGTCCGATTTTTTTCTTTATCAGTATATGAAATAACAAGCAATTAAAATTAGCACTCATGAGTAGAAAGTATTGTAGTTGGAGTGTGGTTTTAAAGAGAAACCATAAAAAATCTCCTTTTATGTCCTATTTATTTAAGTCGGTACAGACTTCGAAACGTTGAAAATAAAAATGGAAAGAGGAAAATAATTATTTTTTTCATTTTTTCTAAATCTTTTTTCTTTTTTATGAAATAAAAAAGAATCATTTAAGTCCACAAAAAAGGTTAATAAAAAAATTTATATTATTAAAGTAATGAAGAAAATCTGAGATTCAAAGTTATAATTTGAAGAAGAAGTAAATTAATTTCGTTGAGTTGAATATTCAGAACTTTAGGAACATCAGGAAAATGCAAAACAAATTTTTGTGTTCCAATTCATAATAAAATAAACAACTTTATCAATCTTCTTCGTATTTTTAATCGACTAAAACGACTATATTTGCGTCTTAAATTCGATCTGAGGCCTGATATATGTCATAAAAATAGGAATTGTTCTTGTATTTCTTATTTAATGTGGTAAATGTTGCTCTATTGCTTCTTGTCCATTGGCAGAGACACAGTGTCTGCATAGACATCGAAGGAATCCACCGGTTTGAATTGCTGTTTCTGCAGTCAAGAGAAAAGGAATAAAATTCACACTCTAGCATTTCGCTTTGCTCATACTATACGCACGTGTGCCAAATGCAAACACAAATCTATCATTGCCAAAAGTATTTGCGTGAAGAGAGTTTGATACATCTTGTATGTTGAACTTTAGTTTTCTCCATAACCACCCTTTCTTTTTCTTTTGTGTAAACAATCTCAAGCACTTATAAATATAAGAGGTGTATTTGTCTCTCGAGTGTAGTGTTGAAATTGATAACAAAAAAAATCCAAGGGTTTTCTTGTCCCCACAATATATCGTCTTAGTCTCTTTATATTTTCCGCAGCTGTGCACCAAGAGTGATAAAATGTTGCTAATATTAGTCTATTTCTGCTTCAGACTTTTATATCCCTATATTCTCTTTCTGAACCATAAAATACAAGTTTATATCGTATGAGGTATTTTATTTTCTTCCATTTTGTAATGTGTTGCTCATAACTTCTTCTTACGTAATTGCGTACAAGTTTTGTATATTACAGTTCTATAATCCGTATTTAGAAATCGCTGATTGGTTATCTTTCTTCTAATTCATCTTATTAATTTAGTGTTTTTTCAGTTATGAGTACATGTGTAAATGGTAATTACCATTACCATATTATTCCTGGTATTCAGAATGCAGAGTTACACTAGAAATTGTGTCTATATTATACTTTTCAAATAGTATTTAAAAATTCTGTACATATACCCGAGTCGAACTTTTAGACCTGCTTACATCCTTAAAACTGAGGGATTTTAAGGATGTAAAAGGATGAAATCAGAATTTATTTGCATTGCAAGTTAACTCTGATTACCTCCTGCAAACCCCTGGTTAGCGACAAATTTAGATGGTAAAAGGGGGAAAGCAGGTGTTCCTAGAACCTTATTAAATACTGCTTGACCCTTACCTACAGAATTCTACCCTCTCCAGAAACCCTGAAAAAACTGCTCATAGCATATTTTAGATTATTATTAACTAATTTTTATAATAAGTTTAATTATTAATAAATGACATTATTATTTAATGATTTTTACTTTTTTACATTTAATCATGACCAATAGCAAATTCATAATTAATGTTAGTATATATGTGGGGATTAATACATATCCCTTTATATATAAATATAAAAAAAATTAAATTAAATATTTGTTAATTAAATTATTTAACGTTGTATATAATCATTAAATTGTCTACTAATACCTATACAATACAGAAGAATCGGAATAAACGCAAACCTACGAAATAAATATAATCTAATGCACGCGAGACTTGAACCTATACGACCTACGAACTACGGACTACGAAACTAACGCCCTAACCACTATGCTACGGAACCTAACTGAACACAGACGCTTTATTTTCAGTGACTTGTTGAGTTATTGATTTTGGTGATTCAATAAAGCATTTATTGACACTAATACACTACATCAAATAAATAAATTGTTGAATAATAATATTAACAATATTAATAATATAATAATAACCCATTATTCATAAATTAATATTTTTATAATTAAAAAAAAATGTCAAAACATTTAAGTTAAAAATAATATTTATAAATAAATAATAAAAATGATAGTTGTTGTTTGCTTTTTTGTTTCTAAACTTTTTTATAATTTTTCTTTTCAAATAATTTTAATTTTAAATTTAATGTGTATTGACAATCTTCGAATAGTTGCAAAGAATTTTATAAAAAAGTTTGATAATAATAGAATTCCTTCAAAGAATTTCTTTGTTTAAAAAGAAAACTAAATTCTCGCAAAGAATTTCATTAATATTTTTAAAATCCTATTTAAATTCTTTTGAAGAATTTCTTTGAATTTTTTTTAAATTAATGGAGTTTCTTTAATAATTTTAATTGAAAATTTCGAAAGCAATTGAATTTTATGAAGAAGAATTTTATTAAAATTGTATTGAAAATAATTGACCATATGCGATGAATTTTACTATTTATAAAAATAATTAAAATGTTTCAAAGAATTTATTAAAATTTTAAGAAATAATTAAATTGTTATGAAGAATCTTATAGAAATATTTAAAAATCATGACATTTTTTCGTGAAATTCAATTAAAGTTGTTTCGTGTTAAATTTGAATGTTCGCGGTATGCTTTACTCGATTGACTCTAGCGGTTATGAGTCCGAGTTACACCAGTATGCGCTCGCACTCCCTCAACTCCTTTACTTCCGTTTTATACTTTTCGACCGTCAAGACGTGGATCGTATCGATTAAATAAACGACTGTTTTTCGTACATATCAAAAGTGTTTGATTGACTTAAACCTATCCCAAATAAAGCGCATGCCGACAGGTAATGGGCCCAGCACGCTTCCACTGCGCTGGGATAAGTCAAAGAACAGTATTACATAGTTTAAAAAATCATCGCGACCGGCGTGCTCGCGGCGTGGTTTGCCTATCGCGCGGAGGCCATTTTTGAGTGTGTGCCCAGATCATTAACGAGTGGTATACGACGATCAAAGAAGAAAAAGAAGTGCTTTTTGGTACCAAACGACCGTTCACAATGTCGACTGCAACGAAAAGAATTATAAATAAATGTCTACGACTTCTCGAGATGGATAAGAGTGCCGTAGATGTCGAAGTACAAATGGACATCAACAGCTCTTCCCTCACAGTCACTTTCCCTGAAGGTGAAAAAATCAGCTTAAGTAAGTAATTTAACTTACTTCACGACAGCCAAATTCTTTTAACGATTGTTTGAATAATTTTCTAAATGACTGTTTTAATTTCTGATCTTTAAATAAAACTTTTTTTGTCTGAAGTTAACGACTGTTACTAATAAAATATTAACGATTTATTTTTCAAAGATAAAGGAATGGCTATTTATACATATTAAACGATTTTGTGAATAATATCGATAATCTAAAATTAATTTAACAAAACGATGTGTGAACCTGTTGAGACAGGAAAATTTCACGGTTAATGAATTTCCTACCTTATCATGATAACTTATTATAGATACAAAAACTGCATGGTAATCAATAGCCTTCCTACTTTATCTGACGACAAGGTAATTAAATTGTCCGCTAGGTGACAATTGTACAGTTAATCCTCATAAAAGAAATTAAAATTTACGAAGTTCGAACTAGATAAATAAATAAAATCACAACTGTATAATAATTAACAAATATGAAATTTCTAGAAATTGTATTTTAACTTAAATTGAACGAACGTTTCATTTAATGATTATAATCAGAATTTTTTACGCATTTCTTTCAAAATTAATGAAAGATCTTTTTGATTCAAAATTTGAATCAGAGTATATACTCAAATCAATTTTTAATAATTGACGTCGTTAAAATAAAAATGCCTTTAAACGAAGGACCGTTTGTTAAACGAATGTTTGTATTTTTCTTTTAATGAGAAATTTACTCATTTGAATGAGATATCACGATTAAGGAAGACATATAATTTTTATAATGACAAATATCTTTTTTAAATGTCAGTTTAAGTCTTTTTGGACGACTGACTTCATTATTAACGAATAGTAAATATATTTATAAATTATTTCTCCCTATTGTATTTTAGACACACGAATCCGTTTTTCTGGGTTGTTTTTCATTCTGATAGAATTGTGTTCGTTCATGAAGACTGAAAACAACTAGATTTGTTTTGTATTGTGTTTAATAGTAATAAATACAATGGAACAAATCAATTCTGATGCATCCTAACATGTGTTCTGTTTTGATGTTTCAAGAGCAGATGACTAATTTTCCCTTCGATTACTATATGTGTATATACGTATGTATATATACATATGTATGTATGCTAAATATTTTGAAACTTATTTTAAATTCACTTTTAAAGGTAAACAATCCCTTAAAAACGACTGGAACGATTTGTTATTCGAACTGAAGAAAGCAGAAAAATTGTCAAATCCAGTAAGCGGCGGCGTCGAGAGCATTTCGGGAGAAACTCCAAGTGATTCCTTGGCCGCGGAATCAACTCGCGAAAAACCCGATGGACCAGAGGAACAAATTTTGTCAGAGACTGACGTAATGTCAGATATTAATAATTATATCAATGGAGTGACCAAAACTTCAGGTGATCAATATGAAACGATTGGTTTATGACCATTTACAATTGTTTATTTATTTTTAACGAATTGATTAACGAAAAATAACGACAGTATGACTTTTATGACAGTATATATAAATAACGATTTGTTTGACGATATGTAACGACAGTACGACCGTGTTGTCGACAACATAATAAAATGACAGTTTTAACTAATTCTAAATCTTTATCTGATAGGTGTGTCATCAAACGCTCAACGAAACGGTCCTGAATCCAACAAAGAAGCAGTCTCAGCCAGTTCTGAAGCAAAGAAACAGAACATTTCTCTTGGTCCAGTAAACTCTGACAAACCCTCTAACGACATTTCTTCTCACGAAGTTAAACACGACGCGAATAACGACAAGCATACAGACGAGACAAAAAACGACAGTACTAATGAACGACCGCTTATAAATAACGACAGTAACTTTGATAAAATTAACAAAATTTCTGGTAACAAGGAAAATAACGACAGTTTTGAAAATAATAACGACAGTTCGATACTTTCTCACGAAGAAGGTGCAGTAACTAACACCTCTGGCACAAAACGACAGTTAAATAATGACAGTACTTTAGACACAAACAAGCATGAAAATGTGGCTCGATCGATGTGAATCAAGCAACCAGGTAAAAAGACCAAGAATTTCTAGCGATATAACCATGTCCCCTAATTATAAACTAACGACTGTTCCCATTGAAACAAATTTGCATGTTTTAAATAAACAACCGTTAAATAATTCACAGCCGGTTAAAAATAACTTAACGACAGTAAACAATGAAAGTTTTAACGATTCTAACTTACTCGCGAATCAAGTTAAAGAAGCCATTAAAATCGAATTGATCGGTAAAGAAGGCGTTAAACATGATTACAAATTAACTTCGCAGACTAAATTCGAACATTTTTACGAATTTTTAGCATCCGAATTATGAACGAAAGATTTACTCTATGTTATTGATACGACAGTTTCTCCTCCAGAAAGTTTAAACGACAAGCTAAAAGAAAAACATAAATTTCGAGCTCGAGACATTTTAATTAATCGGATTGATAAAATTTATCACACACGCGTTTTACATATTAAAGACCCTGTAGAGATTGTTAAAAAATTACGAGAATTCAAACGATGCGAAGTCAATTTAACGAGTGTTACAATTCGAAAACAACTTTACTCAATTCAATACGACGCGAAACGAGAATCGGCAGCAAAATTTTTAGACCGCTTTGAGGAAAATATTTTAGATTATGAAAATGCCCCGGTTCGACTTTATTATCCGACGAAGAAAAACGAGATGCCCTATTTAATGCAATCATGAACCAACTGCCTGAAATTCAGTCTGTTGAGTTCATGACAAAAAATCAAACCGGTAAGGGACTAAATTTTGATGCTTTAAAATTATTTATTATTCAGGCCGAAGCAAATCGCGCACAGGCAACGACGAAGAATCACCCGAGTTCGAAACCCTCAGCCCAAGCGTCAGTTCAGTTTACCAACTCGAACCAACGCAAATGGATTAATGAGAGGTGCTACGAATGCGACGAGTATATTCACCTCAAAAACGAATGTCCTTTAAAAGGACAAGGTCTACGTAAATGTTACGAATGCCAAAAATTCACGACGCACAAGGCTTTCGAGTGCGAGAAACGACTGGCCAAAACCAAAACCAGAGGCAGAGGTATGACTGGTAAGTTTTCAAATAATTTTAACGACCGTCTTAATTTTCCTCCTCCTCCCAATTTCAAACGACAGTTTAAATCTCAATCAAATCCAGGTCAAAAGTTTTTCAAAGCTATTAAGCACGTTAATAGCAACAACAAAAATCCTTATAAAAGGAATAACGACTATCAACCCCAAAGACGACTATTTGACAAAAAGAACAATCCACAACTTGGACAAAGACAGTCACGAACAGGTACGAATGAAACACCGAAAATTAGTTTCATAGGAGTTCAGCAAAATAAATCAGGTATATCTAATAAAAATATTTCTAATAATGAATCTTTGTCAATGTCAAAAGCCTTTTCCATCTCACAAACAAAAGAAATATCGCCAGTATATCTTTACAGTCTCTCGATGCCAAACAAATTTGAAAATAAAAATCACAATTATGTCTCTTTTATTATTGATACTGGTGCGACAGAGCATATAACGAATTCGAAAAATATTTTTGACAGGCTAAATAAAAGCAAATTTAATGTTATTAAATGCGCTAATAAAGACAGTCAAGCCGATTTGATTGCTCAAGGTACCGGAAATGTCAATTTAATTTCAAACAACAATAAATCTTTTCAATTATCAAACGCGATTTATGCAGAATCCGTCTCTGAAAATCTGCTCTCACTTAGACGATTGGCCGAGGCAGGATTTTCCACCCATTTAGACGACAAGGGCGTTAATATTTTTAACTCAGAATCGAAAGATTTACTCGCGACTGGTATTTATGAGAAACCATATTGGTTTCTTGAATTTCAAATTGATAGGAAGAATTCAAACGAGAAGTCAAATCCTTCTGAAGCAACTATTTTTGACACGACTGTAGTAAATGAAATTCCAAAAGAAAATAATGAAACGATTGTTAAAAATATCAAAACTAACGACAGTACGAATGACTCAATTAAAACGACAGAAAACGACTTGACAATTTCAAACGTAATTCCAAACAAAACTTCTAAAGAAGAATCTCAAAAAATAACTCAAGAAAATTGTGAAATTGATGATTATAAATTTATTTCCGACTTTGACAGTTCAATGATAAAACGAAAAATAACTAACGTTGACGAATTACCCGAAGTAGATGTTTTAGACGAATTCACTCCATTTAACAATAACCGTTATAACGAATTTATTAAAAAGAACAAAGCAATGCTCTGGCATGTACGAATGGGCCATGCATCGGTTGGCTATTTAAGAAAATTGCAAACTTTGTGGAAAGAAAATAAAGACCTTCAGTCTGTAGTTTTTGACGACAGTATTCTCGATTGTGAGATTTGCGCTAAGCTTAATAAACTACCCTTTCAAAACCAACGAAGTAGAGCTTCACGACCGTTACAAATAATTCACTCTGATGTGATGGGTAAAATTTCTCCACCTACACACCCTCATAATTATCAATACATTGTTGTTTTCGTTGACGACTATTCACGACTGGCATTAGCTTATCCAATGAAAACGAAAGACGAAACGGGTTTATGTTTAGAAAAATTTATTAAAAGTGCTCGAAACTTGCTTGGTTCTAACGAAAAAATTTGCTATTTGCGTTCAGATCAGGCAACCGAATTTATGGTAGGTTATACAAATGAACTGTTATTGCACGAAGGTACAGAACGACAGTGTGCAAACCTAGACACTCCTCAACACAACGGAGTCGCTGAAAGATTTAATCAAACGATTCAAAAGAAAATTCGATCGATCATGTTTGACTCAAAACTTCCACCAAACATGTGGGATTTAGCATTAGGAACGGCGGTTTATGTATATAATAGAACTCCACACAAGTCGATTGATTTTGAAACCCCATTAAGTAGTTTTGCGCCTAATTTTCATTTCGATTTAAATCAAATTAAACGATTTGGTTGCTTGGCTTATTGGTCAATAACGAGAAAACCCGATTCAAAGTTTTCGGCAAGAGCAGTACGAGGTGCACTTGTAGGTTACACGACTTCCGGTTACATCTTTCTTAATCCCGAGTCCGGAAAATTCTTTGAATCACGAAATGTTCGTTTTAACGAGAAAATTGTTTTCGGTGACAAATACAACAAAGACTCGATACAAAATTGGCCTCTTCCTGAAACGAATTTACAGTCGGGCCTCCGAACTGTACGCTTTCAAACTGTACGCTGTCGCCAAAGTGTACGCTGGCTTTAGTTTTTAAGTGCTCCACAGTGTACGGTGGCGCTACTAAATTCAGTGCCGTATATTTGAAAATGTTGCCTTTTAAGGAAGAATCTGACGTACAGTCAAATCAAAAGTTATTCCAATGTCATAATTTCGTAATTTAAAAAAACAAATTAAATTTTAAATTCGTCTTGTTGGAAAGGCGAAGAATTTAATTTTGAATATTTAAAACAATTAAAAGTTTCATTTGAATAAAAATTACAATTATCTGTCAATAAGAAACATTTGTTAAATTTTAGGTTATGTTACTTAAATCATTCATTATTGACAAAAAATTATCATTTTTATTCAAATATATATGTAAAATGTTCAAAATTTAGAAAATTAAATTCTTTACGCTTTTACCAAAAGGAATTTAAAATTTAATTTGACTTTTTTTTAAAATACGAAATTATGACATTAGACTAACTTTTGTTCCGATTGTTTATCAAATTCTTCCTTAAAATTAAAAATTTTACTGATTTAATCAAATTATTTTCTTTTCCATAATTTGGATAAATCAGTGGACTTCTTTTAATTTCATGAGGCAATACATTTTGGTTAAAAAAATGTTAATTTTTCTAACATTTATAATTTTAAGAATAATATATATTTTTATGATTTTAATTAATTTTAAATCTAAAATTATGTATATTATAGTCCCAGACGATAAATGAGGAGCAACAAGTTTTCAAAACTTGATAAATTCCTATTTTCTTATTATTTCGAGAAATCGAAATAAATGACTTTCCTGACATAACCACTCAGTTAATTTCAAAATAAAAAATTTGTAATATTTAATATTTGTAACAATGTTTTTATATTTAATACGTTCTGTTTTTAATCAAACTTTCACATAATAAAGTAACTTTAAGGTTTTGGTAATTTGTTCTAATAACAAACATAAAAATTAAAACTCAACTTGGTTATGTCAAAAAGTTTTTAAATTGAAAATTCGCTGTTAATAATTTTTTTTTTAAATTTAACAGGGACATGACGATTTGTGAGATATTTAAATTATTAAATTTATGTTTATCTCGATTTAAAAAAAATTATATTTATCAACTTTTGAAAACTTGCTCCTTAAATATATAAGTGTACAGTCCTGAAAATTAAATAGTGGGGATGAGTTCGTCAGCGTACAGTTTGAAATCAAGTGGAGGGGTTATTTCTGGGGTACCGTACAGTTCTGCGGCCCGACTGTATCTCTAAACGACTGGTTTATTAAATTCGAAGACAGTGACGAAAAATATGAGACAAAAAATCAAAGTGCATTGTCAGAAACGGAGGGAGCTCATATCAAAAAACGCGGTAGACCTCGAAAAAGACTATTAGAAACGGAGGGAGAAGTTTCTAACGAAATTTTGGTAAAAGCGAAAAAGATTAAACTCACTAGAGAACCTTACGAGACGCGCAGTCGGAAAATAGCAGATATTAGTTTTGCGGAAATTTCGAAAGTACCGAATGTTTCAAATAGCTATACTTTTCCGAGTATAGAAGACGAGTTCATAAGAACAGAAAATAAAACAGATGACGAAATCCTTTTCTGTTTTCATGCCGAAATCAATAATGATCCGTTAAACTTTAAACAAGCAATAGAATCTAAAGACAAAGACGAGTGGTTAAAAGCAATCGACGACGAATTAGAATCATTAAACAAAAACCAAGTTTGGACAATTGTAGAACGACCGGAAATTGGTAAAAATGGTAGAAAGCCTAACATTATCGATTCGAGATGGGTTTTTAAACGCAAATACGACAGTCCCGGTAAAATCAAGTTTAAAGCTAGATTAGTAATCCGAGGTTTTAAAGACACAAACTCTTACGACTTGAAAGAAACTTATGCGCCAGTTTCTAGACTTGCCTTAGTACGAACAGTTCTCACGATAATTAATCATTACGACTTGGAAGCGTGCCAATTACATGTTAAATCTGCCTTCTTGAACGGTATTCTAGAAGACGAAATTTATATGGAAGTTCCAGACGGTGTGAAAATTCCTCAAAAATTACGACAGGCCAAAGTATGCAAACTTCACAAAGCGATTTACGGTTTACGAGTTAGTCCGAAACAATGGAATAAAAAATTCTCAGAAGTTGCTCATTCTTTAGGACTGATTAATGACGATTACGAACCTTGCTTATACATTTGGCGATCAAGCGATTCAATAGTTATACTATTGATCTATGTTGACGATATTTTATTAGCCAGTAACGACAGTAAAAAGATGATAGAAATTAAAGACAAACTGATGACTTCTTTTGAAATGACATACTTAGGTGAACCTAAACACTATTTAGGTATGGACATTCGAAGACAGAGAAATCTGAAAATCATGATAGTTACTCAAGAAAAATACATAGAGAAAATTTTAACGAAATTTGGTTTTGATAATGAATTTACAAAAAATACACCAATGACGACACGACAAGTAACTAATTGCGAACGTAGAGAAAGAGAAGAAAATGACAGTCACGAAATTTGCGAAAAACCTCTTGACATTCCGTACCGTGAAACGATTGGTAGCCTTTTATATTTATCTGGTGCTACACGCCCAGACATAGCCTATGCGGTTAACATTTTGAGCAGATATCAAATTGATCTGACCGAAAACGAGTGGAATATGGTTAAAAGAGTCTTTCAGTATTTGAAGGGAACAAAAGATTTAGGTCTTAAATTTCTAGGCAGACGAGACGATTTATAGCTTATTCCGACGCTAGCTTTGCGGATTGCAAATCCTCAATTTCGACTTGCGGTTTTCTTATACGACTGTTTGGAGACACGATCGCTTGGCGCGCGAATAAACAATCCTATGTTGCTCTGTCAACTTGCGAAGCTGAATATGTTGCGATGAGTCAGGCTTGCCAGGAAATCATTGCGATAAATAAATCCCTGATGAGAATTTTCGAAACAAGTTTGCTTCCGGCAATTCTCAAATGCGATAATAAAGCTGCTACGATTTGTGCTAAAACGAACGGTGGAAATAAGTTGAGACATATGACAGATGTTCACCAAGATTATGTTAAAAAATGTGTGAAATACGACCGTGTTACAATTGAATGGGTTTCCACCGAGAAACAATTAGCAGACATTATGACGAAACCTCTTAGTTTTGATGTTCATACTCAATTAAGAGATAAAATTCTAAATAACGACAGTTTTTGATTGAACAAATTATTTCTTCACACGACAGTGTTCTAGAAGATTGATAATTAAAGATAATGTAATATACGACTGATTTTTAATAATAAAAATGTTCTTAATTAGTTGAAGGTTTCGACAATTAATGAATAGAGGAACAGACATTGATTGACAGCTGGGAATAATCGAGACTGACAACTGTGCCAATTATTGATCCGAGCCAAAAAAACGATCTGATAAAGATACGCCAGTATTTTGAGAAAAGCTGTGATCCTACTGAATTTAAGGATTTTTTGTTTTTGTACTTTTATAGCATTTGACTAAATATTTTTGTACTGTTTGATTAATTAGTTTTAAGAATTTCTCTATTAAATAATTATAAGAGTCAATCTCGGGGGGAGTGTTAAATTTGAATGTTCGCGGTATGCTTTACTCGATTGACTCTAGCGGTTATGAGTCCGAGTTACACCAGTATGCGCACGCACTCCCTCATCTCCTTTACTTCCGTTTTATACTTTTCGACCGTCAAGACGTGGATCGTATCGATTAAATAAACGACTGTTTTTCATACATATCAAAAGTGTTTGATTGACTTAAACCTATCCCAAATAAAGCGCATGCCGACATTTCGAAAATAATTGAATTTCTTAAAAGAATTTTATTATTCTTGTTGAAATTGAATTTTTCGGAAATTTTTGAAAATAATTAAATTCTTTTGTTTAATTTTATTTAAATTGGATTAAAAATTATTTAATTTCTGCAAAGAATTTTATTATTTATCAAAATAGTTGAATTGTTTCGAAGAATTTATTAAAGTTTTAGGAAATAATTGCAATTTATGAAAATATTTAAAAATATTTGAATTCATTCAAGGAATTCAATTAAAATAATTGAATTCCTGCAAAGAATTTTACTATTTATAAAATAAATTGAAATTTTCAAAATAAAAAATTTTGTAATTTGCAGAACAATAATAAGTTGAATATCTTGTTCCGCGCGTAACATTTGCTATTGTAAGAATGTAATTGAATCAATACAGGGATTAAGGTTCAATTAGGACTTAAAAAGGAGTTGTTAGAGTTAAATAGAACTTACGCAGGAGGAAAAGAACACCAACCCAAGTAACCTGTATGTTTGCAGCAAGCTTGCAGCAAACTTACACCACAAGATTTGCAATCTTACACGTAAGCTTACTGCAAGTTTGCTGCAAGTACTAAAATGTCCTACTTGCTGCAAGATTGCACAGCAAGCTTAGGACAAGCCAACACTGCAAGTTTCTTAAAAATTCCCAAATATTTAATTATATAATATCCAGCAAATTATTTAATATTTAGTTTTTATTTAATTTTAATATATTTAATATTTATTTAAAATAATATAATGGCAACAACGTTATAATAAAAATGTCATTAATTTCTCCAATCCACAGAATTGTAGTTGTGTACTATTATCCGTGATCAGTGGATAAATAGTAAAAAATTGTAAATGTCGTGGCAGACATTAATTATTGATATTATGATCTAAGATACTATTGTGAAGCACCTGTTTAGGGGACTGATACTTATACTCTCCGCGAGACAAGTCGTGCGCGAGAGAGGTATTTCTCGCCATCTATCAGGGAATTGGAAAAGTAATAGAAGTTTCTCTTATAATTCTCTAACTCCGTGATAGATGGCGAGAAATACCTCTCTCGCGCACGACTTGTCTCGCGGAGAGTATAAGTATCAGTCCCCTAAACAGGTGCTTCACAATAGTATATATCTTAGATCATAATATCAATAATTAATGTCTGCCACGACATTTACAATTTTTTACTATTATCCACTGATCACGGATAATAGTATACAACTACAATTCTGTGGATTGGAGAAATCAATAACATTTTTATTATAACGTTGTTAACATTATATTATTTTAAATAAATATTAAATATATTAAAATTAAATAAAAATTAAATATTAAATAATTTGCTTAATATTATATAATTAAATATTTGGGAATTTTTAAGAAACTTGCAGTGTTGGCTTGTCCTAAGCTTGCTGTGCAATCCTGCAGCAAGTAGGACCTTTTTGTACTTGCAGCAAGCTTACGTGTAAGATTGCAAATCTTGTGGTGTAAGTTTGCTACAAGCTTGCTGCAAACTTACAGGTTACTTGGGAAGGGTTTCTTAGGTGCAGGTTAGGGTTAAATTATACTTACAAGGAGGTAAGCAGGTCTAAAAGTTCGACTCGGGTACTTTTACAAAATTATTTTCCTTATTCATTCATGTAATTTTCACTCCTTTAATCAGTAATATTTTATCCGTTGTGTTATTTTCACTCCCATTTTTCATGATTTCAATTAAGATTCAGGTTTACACTAACTCAAGTGCCAATTATTTTTAATCCCTTCTCTTCTTATTGCAATCGGCTTGTTATTTTAATCAGCATTATTCTTTACTATTATTTACTTTATTTTTTTTTTAGTCTGCACTTTGTTACACGAGTATCACGAGTAAAATTGTTCGATATTCTAAAATCCAAATGGAAATTTAGGGAATCACTAATATATTTTTAGATGGAGTGAAATTAAATTCAGTTATGAAAAGTTAATGGAACCGATGACGTCACGACCATTTTTAAACATGAAAATTCTTGTTATCTGTCCAAGAATTTGATACTATATTGAAAGTTGAGAATTGTCGAGTTCATCGTTGCGGTTGAACCCAATACGTGTGGACAGAGATGAATTGTTTCAACTGGCACAAGATGTCTAACTATGTATATACAATCATAGGTCTTAATGTAGGTGATATCGTGCACGCACCTACATTAGCGAAGGGAATCGTATAAATAAATTCACCGACCCGGCTGCCACGCTGTCTGCCGTAAAGATCACGACGTCTCGGCATTTGAGAGTATGAACACGAAGAGACTCGACTTCCAAGTTTCATTCTCTGCCGCATGCACGCAAATACACATTCTTTTGTAATCTCGGACTTGTTTCGTACTTGTTTCCTCGCCACACACTAGTATATGGCATGGTGTGTGGAGTGTGTGCAACACTGCATGGTCATTCTATTTTATATCCCGGCCACAGGTGCTTCCGTGATCAGTTGCTATATTCGAACCTTCCTCCTTGTGCGCGCACAAACTCGTTCGCTTGGTCAGGAAAAATTCCAAGACAAGATTTTCTCAGATAACCGACCCTCTTTAACGCGCGGCTCGCATTCGATTATCGATCATTATACGCTTCGCAGTTGCAAAATAAGAACTTTCTTCTCACTAACAGACTGTTACAAACGAGTCTCTTGTTCATTCAACGATATTCTATTTGGCACTTGGTGATTATTTTTTATAGGGTTCGCGAACTGAGTATTGAAGCTGTTATTTAGAATAGTTTTTACTCCTCTTTTTCACTTGTTAGTCGATTGAAAACTAGGCTAGCAGAAAGGTTTCAATAAGAGTCTTTAACTGTCGTTTTGGAGAAATTTTGATGAAAAACTGAAAATTTGCATTTTCTGAAAAATTGGTCAAGTACGATTTATACTAATCTTCTAACTGTTTAACCCGAGTTTGGGGTAACGTTTCTATTCTTATTTTAATAACCGAATTAACTTCCCCATAGATATTCGAAATAAAGCTGGGTATATTTCTTTTTTAGTGATCTATCATTGAGATGTTCGTAATTAATTTTTACGAAATTACGCTATATTAAAAATTATTAATAATATACATGTATATTACGGATGATATGCTTGTTTCTTTTCTTTTAACTTAATTATGTTTCGCGCAAGCTTTTCAATAAGTATGTCGAACGTATTTTTAAAGACGTATTAATTCATCATTTTGCACTCTAAAATCTAAAAAGCAAAAAATTGTAAGTTATGTTTGTAATTTTTGGAATGAAACTACACAAAGAAGATCAACTTTCAATATAAATCGCACTGATGATTGAGTCTTCTTTACATCTAAAATAATTAATAAAAACTTATTTTAGTTTCACATAAAAATACAAACATTACGCACGAATGAGATCAAAAATCTAAATATCATTTTTTTATTCTAAAGTAAATCAATAACTATCAATATTGTTTATAATTGCGTCAATTTTTTCATATTAGGGGCTGTCAAAAATTTTTAAATAAGTTTAATATCTATTCTTTTTCTTCAAATGACACAATAAAATTGTACCTAATCATTAATCTTGTAAAAAAATGGTTTTTTAATAGAAAAACTGTCCTATTTAGAAAAGGGCCCATATTGTCGATTTTTCGTATTTTCAAAATTAAGAGGAGGGGATTTAAATTTTTAAAACCTCTTGGTTTTTTATCTCCAAGGTCCCCTGAACTGGAAACAATTCTTATCTGAATAACTTCCAAAAAGAACCAGAAATACAACAATTAGTTGGTATCGCAATCTTTAATTCCGTTTTTCTCGAAATGAGGTTTTTGGCGTTCTAAACTTTGAAATTCCGTAACTCAGCGAATTTTTAACCAAAAAAGTTCTAAGATCACTCAAAATTTTCCAAATTTTGCCAGGAATACGCTTATATAGATAACTACATAAAATACTGATAAATTATTATTCGCTTCTAAAAATTTCATGATCCCACTCTGATTTTAACATGGCTCATAGGAAAAGAGATGAACTTTCGATTGGGATAGGTTAGAAAAAATTTTAAAATACCGATTTTTAGGGTTTCGTGGCCAAGGGCCAAAACCCTTATAGCGAGACTTCGGTGTCCGTCCGTAGTTTTTACGTCTTAAGTCTTATGTAATAAGTCTTAAGTCTTATAGCGAGACTTCGGTATAAGAAGGTCTTAAGTCCTAAGACTTAACTTCGGTATAGGGTAGGTATAGTATAGGGTAGGGGGCTTCGCACATGATCACGTGATATGAATTAACTCTAAATTTTCAATGAAAGCTTAATTTAAGATTTGGCCGATTTTTCATATAGAATTACACGCATAGAAAGGGTTTGCTGTGGCAGCGAACATTTTGCTGACACAGCAAACCTTGTTCGTTGAAATAGGGACAGTGAAAAAGTTCGCTGTGAGATCAAACAAGTTCGCTATGACAGCAAACTCGCATAAATTTTTACTAATGTTTGCTGTCACAGCTAACATGTTCGCTGCCACTGCAAACTTCTTAGCTGTGGTAGCTAATTTTCAGAGATGTTACAGCAAACATATGTTTACTGCTGCAGCTAATTTCTTTTTTTCCGTGTAGAAGTCACGTGACAATGGGAGGGGGTTGGGGGTCATAGAATGTATCACGGTTGATCACTTGGGGGGTGGGGGTAAGAAATTGCCCGAAAACCAGTCATGTGATTTATGGACGTCCCCATTAAGTCTTAAGTCTTCAGTCTTAAGACAGCATAACAACCGTTGCCATGGTAATCGTTGCTATGTTAATGGTTGACATAACAACCGTTGCCGTTGCAACCGATGATATAGTAATGGTTGCCATTACAACTGTTGCCATGGCAACCGTTACTATGATAATAAAAAATTTTTCAATCTTAAGTACAACAAAATTTTTAAATAAATTATTATTTATTTATTTT